GAAAAGAATAAAGAAATCTACAAGTATCATTTAAAATTGTTAATTAATATTATAAATATTATTAAATCTTATAATAGTTATTAAAATTTACAGATGAGTGAAAAAATATGAAGTTTATATAGTAATTTAAGTACAAAAGTAAAAGTATTTATCTTTAAAGTCTTTGATAAATTATTATCTATTAATAACAATGTGACAGCAGCTAAAATTACTATATGAAAAAGTAACCCTATAGTATTAGAATGTTACAAGAAATTGTTTAAAGAAATTGAAAATATATTTGAAAAATATATCATACGTATAATAAAAAACGTATGATCTAAAAAAGAACTAATTCTAGATCCTTACACTGCTTGGTACATATTAATTGTTGAAATTCTTCTAAACCTCTATAATGATTCTAATCCCAGATCCTCACATTGCTTGGTGCATGTTGATTGTTAAAATCTTTCTAAACCCCTATAATGATTATATCCAAATCACTGAAAATATTATTTAACCTTTTGTTAAAAAAAATATAGTAAGTAATTAAAATAATTAATATTAAAATAATATTTAAAAACTAATGAAAAATAAAAAATAAAATAAAAACTTAGAAAAAGATTGTAGATAAGAAAGAATTTAATAATGACTCTGACGAGTCAGAAGAAATTTCTGAAACTTTCGAAAAAAAACATAAAAATCAAATAATTAATAAAAATCAAATAATTGGTGAAAATCAAATGAATGATGATACAGAACTTCCAACTCTTGACAAAACGTGAGTAAGATTAGAAAAAATAATAAATAAAAAAAAGAAAATAAAACAAACCATAACTTTTCGAAATAAAAGAAAATCCAAAAAAGATAACAGTAATGATAATGACGATTATGGTGATAATAATAATAATAATGATGATAAAAATAATAATAATCTATAAATAATATAAAATAATTAATAAAAAAAATAATTAATAATGTAAATAAAAATAAATATAATATAAATAAAAAATAAATTTGTAAAACTAAATGAACAAAATAAATTATTAGTATGTTTTTTATCCAACGATTTTTTTAGAACTAAATAGATCTTTATCTATCTAAAAATTTGTTAAAGATCATAACTTCAAAAAATTAAAAATAAAATTTCAGTATCATTTCTTATTAAATATCCTATGAATTTTTCAAATAATTTTCAAATATATTGGGATATTTGAGAATCGAAAAAATTCAATATATAAATATATTCATATAAATTTGTGAATTTATCTGAATTTTTTCGAAACCAAAAAATATCTGAATATATTTGTTCTCAAAAATTTTCTGATGGATAAATATATCTAGATATATTTGAGAATTGAAAAAATCTGAATGTATGTAAATATATTTATATAAATTCATGAATTTATTCAGATTTTTTCTAAATTGAAAAAATCTGAATATATATGAATATATTCATATAAATTTGTAAATTTATCTGGATTTTTTCTAAACCAAAAATATTCAGATATATTTGTTTTCAAAAATTTCCTGATATAGTTAAATATAAAAAAATCACTATATCAAATAGTAATTTCTATATTAAAAATCAGAATTCCTATATTATAGATTAGTTAAAAATCAGTAAAAATTAATCATCTTATTACATCCTATATTATAAATCAACTAAAATCAGAATTTCTTTTTGATATGGTATATCTTTTATATTTGACTTGTGTAAGATTAAATGTTTAAGGAAGTTTACTTAAAAGAGTATTTTTTATAGTAATAAAATTTAATAGACTATTTTAATAGTACAAATAATATTTAATATTTTAAGTTTTTATTAAAATTATTTATTCTATATAACTTTTTTTTAATTTATTATTAATTTTGATATAGTATTTTTTTGTTAAAAGATCTTTTGAATTAACAGTTTTTTTCAAGATAACTAATTTATACTTTATTTTTTATATTTACATATCTACTTTCTCTTTAAAGTTTTTTTCTTTTATTAATTAGACTCAGTTAAATTTAATATTTGATTAATATAAATTTTTATTAATTTGTAGATATATTTGATAAAATAATATTTAAGTTAAAGAAAAAATAAAATATTTAAATATATAATTATATAAATAATTCACAAAGATATTAATATTTTCATAGATTAATTAAATAAATATTAATTTAATAAATGGAATTAAGATATTACAAAAAATATTTATTATCAATTTGAATAATTTGAATATAAATTTATTAAAGTTTGATTGGTTAAAGAAATAATTAAAATAAAGTTTTGTTCATTTTGATCATGTGATATATTATCCAATAGTATATGATATATCAACCAATAAAAACAAACTTGCCCTATACTTCAAACCTTAAAAATGGTAACGTTTTGGGTAAAATATATCACCGCTCCCTGGGTGACATCAGAAACCAGGGTTTAGGTTAATATTTATCACATAACATAGAATATCTCGCTGAACAGTCACTTTATTTTAACAAATTACAGACGTCGCCATTTTCATTTAAAGCTCGAAAATTCAAGTAATCGTCAATATAAAGTCTTTTCTGTGCAGTAATGGATCGATGCCTTTACAATGTCAACAAATGTTAACGAAGACAGGAAAAGGCTGAAGGATTTAATAAAGTACTTGCCCTCTTTTTTTTTTTATATTCATAATACCATTTGTTATTAAATTTTACTGGTATTCAATTTTCCAAAAAACAGTGAGGCTGTTAATCTCGAAAGAGAATTAAAACAAGAACAGGAAAAAAGGAAATTTAATAAAACCGAGAACTTAATAGATTCGGAAGATGCCGAATTTTTACGGAATAGGTAGGTAAACCTATTTTATCAAAACATTTCTTAAATCCAAATTCTTATTTTCTTACGAAATTTTCGATAATTTTATACAGTCTTAAAGACATTTATGAAGATATTATTTTAATTGATCTTAAATTCGCCAACGAAAACAACATCGAAGAAAAACTTTGGCGCTATGTGTTTTATAATCCTATCGAAGAACTCAGGCAGAAATTACGCCGAGTAAGACCAAAATATATTTTGTATTTGACGCATTTTACAGCTACTTTTATAATCATACTTCTATTTATTCAATTAATAGATCAACAAACACGAAAAGACAAATGAATACGAAGCGGCATATCTAGAAATGTGTCGTTATCTTGACTTGGGAAATGGATTTTATCACACTATCGTAAATAACTTAAAAATTCGTGAAAACATAAATTTTGATCAGATTGGAATTGGTAAATTTAAAATTTTTTTGTTTATTTAATATAGGTACTTTTTAATTTACGTTCGGTTTTGAGCGAATATACATTTGATCACTTCATATGTCTTTCTTAGAAATTTTTAAGAATAGTACTCCCACATCACCCCTTAATTCCCGTCCCGCGTCCAAAATCCGAAAGAAAGAACTCTCATCCGAATGTATTCAACGATGCCTTATTAATCTCGGGGATTTAGCTCGTTATCGCGAAATGATTCAAGAATCCAACGACAAATGTTGGGAGTTTGCGAGACAATTTTATACCACTGCTGCTCGAGTTTACTGTGACAATGGTAATTTATCTTTTTCCTGATTTTTATTATTATTATTATTATTATTATTTAAATATTAATTTTCTTAATTGTGATATAGGAAAAGCTCAAGCCCAATTGGCACTTCTTTCAATGCTTCGAGATAAAGATATCGACATTGTTTATTGGTATTGTTTCAGGTAAGCTCATATTATAATAAATTTATTTCACTTTTTATCTGATATATTAATTTACATTTAATGTTTAATATTTTTAGTCTTTCTACAAAACAACATCCGAGTACATCTTTAGAGAATTTAAAAGTATTCTACACAAAATTTACTCAGCGAGCTCAACAAAATAATCTTGATTCGGATGTTATGTAAGTTTGACATATAGACTTTTTTTTAAAAAAAATAATGGTTTAAGTCTTTTGAAAAAAAAAATAAACTTTACTAAATTTACATTGTAGGCCAGAAATCAACAATTTCCAAAAGAAATTCTTGGAAATTCATCGTTGCCTATTTGAGGAAGATATTGATAGGTGAGGATTACATTAAATTTCTTTTTTTCTTTTTTTTTTTTATAAAAAAAAATGTTATAGCATTATTCAAATTATTTTGGTATTTTTTTTTTATCGTTATATTCAATACAGTTTGTTGAAGCATGAATTTTTCCCTGAAGATCTTATTACAATATTTGAACATTTGTTAGATTCTCAGATAGACAAACATAATTTAATTTTAATTCTTAAAAAGTTCATTTTTATCCTTATATTCACTATCTGGGATATTCGCAATGGATCAAGTAAGTATTATTGGAATGGTCAATATTTGATTTCAAACAAAGGCGTTAACATGAAAAAAAATTTTTACATTTAGTCCAAACACGTATTATTGAGCTTCGTAACTTGCAATTAATAGCTATTGGATTATCCTTTGGTCTTTTAACTCCAGTTATTAATAAATTCATCTTGAATTATGAGTCTGGATCATCAATAGAATTGGAATATTTGGCGGTAGTATCTTTATGGTGTCAATATTTAGGGACGTTGGTTGATTCTATATGTCAATTTTATACATACGCAAAGTCGGTAGAGAATGAAACTTTATCTCGCATTTTTTTAACGGTATGAGTTTATTTTTCAGAAAATTTATTCGTTTTTTTTTTATTTTTTATTTTGTTTTTAATAATTAATTTTAATTTTTTAAAATAGAATTTGAAGAATTTCTTTAAATCAGTTTCTAGTATCCTTAATCATCCGAAAATATCTTTTTTATTGGGGGTTGATTATGATCTTTTGGAGTTGGCTAAAAATTCAGTTTCTGAAGATTTAGAATTCTTAGGCGTGGTTCCTTTGCGTACCCTACAGCAAGAAATCATTTTTACGTCAAAAGTTGATCCACTAAAAATAAGAATAGCAAGATTGATTTTATTTGGAAGAAAAATGGCAGAAAATAAAGTAAAGTTTACACAATTTGTACAAAATTTATTCGATTTATTATATCAAGAATGTCTTATAACTCAATTTTAAATATATTTAGTCATTTGATATATTTTGTTACAATGAATCGACGGGACAGTATATATTGGTTGATGAAGAAACCAAGGTATTATAATTTTTATTTGAAGTAAAAAGTTTAAGTGTCCATTCAGAGTACAGTCGTTTTTTTTTTTTTATTAAAATATTTAATATATATATAATTTAAATAATTTATAGAAGAAGGAACGTCAAAGAACCATGAAATTGTTGGCACAACAATTTTTGCAGGATCAAGTGAATTCATTAGAAAATAATTTACAAAAGATAGGGCATCCCTCACAACGACAAGCCATCTCAAATTCTGGTCCACCTTTAAAGAAATACGTGGTCGATACAGGGGTAATGCTTAATCATTTGAATTATGTCAAAAAATGGGTCAACGAAAGGAAATATTCTGTTATTGTCCCTTTAGATGGTAATGATTGTAATGTTTCATCTTTAAGCTAATTTTATAATATTTAACAAAACAGAGTATTTATAAAATTTATTTTTATATGTTTTTAATTTGAAGTTATTGATTCCTTGGACCTTATTAAAAAAGGAAATAGTCAAGAAAACGTCAGAGCTCGAGAAGCCATTCGATATTTAGATCAGCAAATAAAAAAAAGTAATCATCAAGTTAGTAGTAGCCCTGAGCAAAACCATATTGAGCATTTCATTCGTGCACAACAAATTGATGAAAAATTGCCTCAATGGGCTTTCGCAGAGGGATATCTTGTTGATGACGGAGATCAAGATAATCAAGATAATATTGGTGATAATGATCAAACCAAAGATTTCGATGAAGAAAAATCCGAGGAACGTCAAAGGATCATTAATTCAAATGAGAAATTTAACATTAATAATATACCAAAAATGTATCGTCCAATGTTGAGTTGCTGGCTTTATTATGCACGATTGTCAAATATTGAAGAGATATTTTTCGTGACGGAAGATCAAGAATTAACTAAATATTCTAAAATGTTTGGATTGCCCGTTGTTGGAGTTGAAAATATTTAAATATATTTATCAATATTCTTTAGTTCACATTAATCAACTATCGAAAATGTTAGATTTAACTAAGACTTTTAATATTAAAAAATAAGATTTATTCTCTAGACTACAATGTAAAACACTCAAGGTACGAATATTATAATATTATCCACCTTTTTTTCCTTCTTACGATTCCATCTTTTAAAATTTTTCCAATACTTTAAAATTTTATAATTACATTTGAACCAGTTTCACCTCGCATATTGATTCTAAAATCTTCGGTTGGATTAAATTATTTCTTGTTTCCCGTGTTTTCAATGTACTTTGAAGGTGAGAAAATATATTTTCACGTGAAGTATGAATAGTTTAAGAGTCTAATAAAGGGGAAAAAAAATGAAAAGATTATTTAGATTAATTTTTATTGTAATTGTACAGTATTAATATTTACTGATTTGATGCATTTTCTCCAAGTCTATTGCGTGCTTCATGTATTTGTTGTCTCAATATATTCAATAATTCACGGACCAATTTCTCCATAGAAAACTTTTGTTAATTGTGAAAAGAGTTCTTCTGATAACCGAAACAATTTATCAAGGATTCGCTTATTTGATTTTGGTTCCACGTATTGATACTAAGTTAAAAAATTAAATAAATAATAAATCAACTTTTTTTTTCCAAATCTTTTTACACGGCTAATTCTTCCTTTGAAGGATTGAAGTACATTTAGTACATTTATATATTATTTTTTATTATATAAATAAAATCGATAGTGTACCCAACATTGTTCTTACATCCTTTGGAAATAATTATTATAATTATTGAAAATTTTGTGCACGTTATCACAGTTTATAGTTAATTCATCCATTAGAACACAAGATCATTCATATTACTACAAAAATTTCTTATGTTTAAGGTTATATATATATAATTAATTATATTAGACAAAAAATTTTAATAACACACGATATGTTTTCTGATTTTATTGTGGAGCGAATGTCCTTAATAAAAAAAAAAAAAAGTACCTCATTCAGAATTAGTTGAGAAAATTCGAATATTAGAATTTTAAACGCGTTTCACTTCATGTATTTATGTATTAGCCAATATTAGCCAGTATTAGCCAATCACGATGTTATTCAACGTCACGCGCCAGAAATTTTGATTTATTAAATAAAATACATCAGATATTTAATAAATATTTCAACCAAATTTATGGAATTTCCTATTTTTTAAATTCAATTCACAAATGTCAAATTCTTGAAATTCTTTGTACGTTTCAGGCCAATTTTCTTCTACAAATTTCAAAAGATTTGATTCAATGAGTTTCTTATTAGCATTTCTAAGTGGAGGAATTATGGCTAATAAAGTTCGTAAACCAGGAACAATGTTTTTCTTTATAAAATCTATCAAAAAAACATATGCAGCTTGATCAAATTCTTTACATCGACAAAGTGCTTCAATATAAGAATTATAATGATTTAAATTAAGTTTAATCTGTGGATTAGAACAAAGAGTTTTCCATTCATGTTTTAATTTATGAATATCTCCAGAAAATCCAAGATGATCAATTACTAATGAAATTCCAGCACCTAAATCTTCCATTTCATATTCATTTTTCATTTTAGTCCAAAGTCGATAAAATTCCATTTCTTTGCACAATACTCCATAGACATTGAGTAAAATAGTATCATTTATGCATTTACTACGTGTTTTAAGTGATGGAGGTGCCATTTCTAATTCACCAACCCATTTTTCAAGACTTTTGAATTTTTTCAATTTAATATAATGATCAACCAACTGATTAAGAAATATTGTATATGAACCATTTTTTGATTTTAAATATTTAATCATCATTTCAGCACTGTCAATTAATCCTTTAGACAAATAAACACGTGCCAATTCTTCGAACACGAAATTACTAGGTACAACTTTAGTAGTTATCATATTATGAATGATCTTTTCTACATAACGTAAATAATTATTATAAAGAAATGCCATACATAAATAATTTCCAAGTTCTAAAGTAATTTTTATATCTTTTTCTTTTATCTTTACAAAAAATTCATAAGCCATTTCAAACTCTTGATATCCAAATAAACCTTGAAATATTGTCAAGATGATAACTGGATGAGATTGAATATTTAATGAAGATATTTCCATAAATTTATTAATAGCTTGTTTGGGTTTGTTTTCTATGAATGTATTTTCAATAACTTGCAAGTAATTTTTTGCATCTTGATTCAATTCTTCCGTGTCAAGTTTGATAAAATCTCTATAAAATATATCTAAAAGTTGTATCTCTTTTTCTTTTAAAGTAACTTGTAACATCAAATCATAAACTTTCCTTTTGAATTCACAATTACAACTCTTTAATAATTTATACAAACTCATCATTTCTTGTGTATTGGAAGATTTATATATTGCCTCATTACAAATTGAATTACTAGGAATTAAACCTAATGAAATTCTCTCTTTAAAAAAATCAAGAATGGTCAATTTTCCAGGTTTCTGTTGGATTTGTTTAAAATCATTTAACATAATGATAGCTTTATCTAGGAAATCTAACTTAAAATAATAATCAAGTAATTCGGACCATATTTTTTTGTTACTATCTTTCCAGTGTGTGTACGCAGACCATATAAGTTTTTCTTCACCTGATTTAAATTTATTGATTTTTCCAAGTATTGGTTTTTTGATAAAGATTTTTTTATTATATTCTTCACTTTGTTGTTGTGACATTTTATTATTTGTTATGTGAGAGTGAACTGTAGTTAAATTAGTTGAAATGTCATTAATTTTAGAAACTTTAACCTTTTGTATTATTTTTTTCTTTGACATTAAAATAGGAGGATTATTCAACTTAACCCCTTCATTCTTTTTTTTCGATGATTTGCCTTGATCTATTTTTTTTTTTGGTTCACCTGCTTGAGAATTAGCTACCGTTGAAAAGTATTTTATACGTTTTTCGTATTTGAATAATAATGAAAATTGTTTATATATTATATTAATGAATCGATTTCGATTGGTCTTTACGTATATACTCATAATCCCTTCAAAAACAAAAGTTGGGTGAGGTGATAAAATCACATTTAGAAAAAAGTTATCAAAATCTAAAACATATATATTTATAAAAATTAGATGTTCAATGTAAAAACTGATCTTTTATTAAAATGGAATAGACAGAATTTTTGGCAAGGAGATATTTTCTATTTCATTGTCTAAATTCGAGCAACACATAAACAGAAATGATAACATATAGACTTATCGAAAAATGTAAACACGAGTATAATAATAAAAATAAAATAAATTTTTTTTTTGATTCTTAATTTTTTTTTTAAAAAATTTATTACACAATAAAGAGATGTAGTAGTAGTTTTTTAAATAATTTTAAATTAATATAATAATACAAATATTTTTTGTTTATACTTAAAACTAAAAGAAATATTGATTCAGGGAAGGTCTCTAAAAAAAATAAAACTACCAAACAAAAAAAAAATAATTCTTTTCGAAATTTTCTGTCTTAATTGTCCCTGAAATTTTTTTTTTTTTTTTGTCTGACCCGTGAAATAACAAATGTTTGCATGATGATAAAAACCCTTTAAATAAATATTCTCTATAATGTACTTCCATTTTTTTTCCTTCCTCCTAACCACAAACACCACAAAAAAAAAAAAAAAAAAACAAAAAGCCCAATAGTAAAAAGTGTAAAATAATAATTAAAAAATGAATTGATGATAGTAATGATTTTTTTTTCCTATATTAGAAAAAAAAAAGCCTTATATTACAAAAAATTTCTTTTTTTGTAAAAAAAAAAAAAAAAAATAAAAAAATCCCATTAATAATTATTATATAATACAAAGTTTGAATAATGGTGAGGAGACGGTGATATCTTATGAAGTGATTGCCTTCTTTTTCGATTGTTTGGCATGTTGGAAAGCAAGTAATACTTTACATATAAGTATTACCTTTCGAACTTTACCAACGGTTATTTTTATCTTTTTTCTGTAGATATTATCAGCTTTACGATCTCGTAATTTATTTTTACGAGTTTTGGATGGCCATAATTTAGTAGTAAGTTCAAATGACCAATATCTGAATACCATAACTTTAACAAAATCTAATACGAAGAAATATCCTAATGAAATTCCAATAATGCTAACACCCCATGGCCATCCGATAGCTGGTGTAAGAACACCATAAATAGAAATAAACATGGCGAATACTTGTGTTCCCATTACAGCGATGAAGAAAATTGGGGATGGAAGATTTTCCCAGAAAAATCCTGAGACACGGGTTGAAAAGATGACAAAGTGAGGACATGATGATATATGAAGATACATAATTGTTTCTAAACGTTCATCATCTTTTTGAATACCGAAAACATGATGAGCTATATAGAAATGAGCAAATGATGCACATGTCAAAAGGATTCCCAAAATAAATGATAAAGTAATCAATTGTCCAAGTCGCCATTTGTCAGGTTTGGCTGAAATTTTTGCATTATCTACAGCAATTACAAGAGTTGCTGCATCATTCAATATGGTAATTAAAATCAAAAGGATAGGCGCCATCTCCCAATTCTCAGCAAGGATAATACAAAAGAAGAAAATTAAGAAGTGAATAGTGGATGTAATACGATAAAGGGCATAAGATCTCATACGTTGGAAAATAGCACGGGATGTTGTGATTCCATCAACAATAGTAGAAAGACCGGGAGCTAATAAGACAATATCTGCTGCGGATCTAGCAGCATCTGTACATCCATGAACAGCAATACCAACATTGGCCTTTTTTAAAGCTGGAGCATCATTTACACCATCTCCTGTCATACCAACTAATAAACCACGTTTTTGTAATAATTCTACTACACGATATTTATGCTCCGGAATAACTTGAGCAAAACCATCAGCACGTTCACAATGTTGAGTAACTTCTTCTTCACTTTTATCAGGATCAACTAAATGATTAGCATCAAGAATCACACGATTCATTCCAAGTCTACGGGCAACTTCTTTGGCAATAATCAATTGATCACCGGTAATCATCTTTACTTCAACTCCATAACCATTACATCTTTTAATAGTTTCAGCTGAATCAGGTCGAGGAGGATCGAGAAGGGAAATCATTCCAATTAATTCGTAAGTATCAAGATCACCGGGAATAGTTCGAGCAACACCTAGAGCACGAAGACCTCGAACAGCTAAAGCATTAACAGCGCGTACAGCCATTTCATTACCACCAACAAGTCGAATAATAACTTGAGGAGCACCTTTTGCTACTTTAAAAACTTCTTTTGTTTCAAGATTAGCGACAGTAGCATTGGTCATCTTTGTAGTAGGATTAAAAGGAACGAATGCAGTAACCTTATAACCAGGAACATCATGTTTATTTGCACGATTCTTAAGAATATCAAGTTGGGATTCAGCAGCGAAACGAATAGCAGATTCGATTGGATCATTTGCACCCGGTTCAGCAGAGAGATAAGAATATAAAAGAATATCTTCTTTTGTATATCCTGGACATAGATAAGGTTCATCAAAGGTAAGTTCATTGAGAGTCAAAGTACCAGTTTTATCGGAACAAAGTACGGATACAGAAGCCATTTCTTCAACAGCGGTAAGACGTTTAACAATAACTTTTTTGGCAGCTAATTGTTTAGCACCGACAGCCATGGTGACGGATAATACAGTAGGTAAACCGACAGGAATAGCAGCAATAGTTAAGACTAATACTCTACTAAGAACATCCAAAAAGTCTTTGTAACGGATCATTTGATAGATAAAGATAATAGAGACTAATATCACGGTAATCAAAATTAAAAAGTTTCCTATGGCCCCAACAACTTTTTGGAAATGACCTTGTTCAACAGTGATTGAGATCAAATTGGCGGCACGCCCAATGAAAGTATTACCACCAGTTTTTGTAACGACAGCTAACATTTGACCTTGTTTTACGATAGAAGAAGAATAAACAATGTCATTTTTCTTTTTTTCCACGGGAAGAGATTCACCAGTTAAAGCGGATTGATCAATTGATAAAGTTCCTTCAGTTTCACCACCAGTTACGGAAATACCCAAAAGACGAGCATCAGCTGGAACAATATCACCTAAACGAAGACTAATAATATCACCAGGAACTAATTCAGCAACATCAACTTCAACGAAACTACCATCACGCCAAACATGAGATTTTAATGCCAAAGTTTGTTTAAGGGCATCTAAAGCAGATTCAGCACGAGCTTCTTCGAAGAAACCAATGAAGGCATTAACGAAAAGTAAAGCTAAAATGATAGAAAAATCGAGCTGTAAAAAAAAAAAAATGCATAAAAATAATTTTAAAATGATTAGTTAAAGCACGAATAAATTCGATAATAATAATAATAATAATAATAATAATAATAATTTACCCAATGTTGTACAACAGCGGCACAAATACAAGCTATTTCAATCAAATAAGCAATAGCCCCAGTAAAGTAAGATAAGAATTTTATAATAGGATTCGTTTTAACTTCTGCTAATTCATTACGACCAAATTGTTCTAAACGTTTTTGAGCTTCTTCGGTTGATAAACCAGTTTGAGGATCTGTATGAAGTAAAGCCTCTAATTCTGGAGGAATATCCTCAGCAGCTTGAACATGTACTTGTTCTATTAATTCTGTAGGTTTCCCTGTCTTTTCATTAAATGCTTCACTTGATGAAGTTGTCTCACGAACTTCTTCCAGAATTTCCTCTTGTTCGATACCTTGATACTTTTTTTCTGAAGACATTAATATAGATGTAAATAATTTTTTTTTTAATTAGGGGAAGGATTTTTTTCTTTTTGTACAATCTATAAGTAATCGTATTAATAATCGTATTAAATTATTGTATTAATTATCTATCGTTACTATCGTATTAAAACAATCTAATGAAGAAAAATGATTAAGTTCAAAAGTTCAATGATTGTGGTAGATAAGAGAGAAATGATACAGAAAAAAAAACAATACGATAGATATATCCCACTTTTGAACTAATACTAATGATAATAAAAAATGCTAAATTTTTTTTTTCCTTTCGTAATGAAAAAGAAAAAAAAAAAAAAAAAAAACCTAGAAACCAAAGGAGGGGGGAACCAGTAATCCGAGGGGGCTTGGACAGTAAATTAAAAGATTAAAAAAAATCAAAAAGAGAATTTTTGTTTTTATCAAAAAAACTTTTTAAATAACTCGTACGAGAAACATACTAATATAGTTTTTTTTTTTTGAGAAAGAAAAAGTGAAGTCGAGAGGTTTTATATTCAACTGAAAAAAAAAAAAAAAAAAAACAAATATCACAAATATCAAATAAAATGGGGAAACTAGAATGTGTTTTTATTTATGTTGTATTTTAAAGTATGTTACAAGTTTGAATTGTGTAAGATTGTCGATAAGCCAAATTAAAAATAATTTATTTTTTTTATTTTTTTAACGCCTTTCCCATACAATAACTCATTTTGTGTTTAATACAGTCTTGTTCACCCACAAAATTTATTCTTCTTTTTCATTTAATAATAAATATTATTTACCATTAATAAAATCTTTCACATACAATAACAACTTTATAATCAATATATTAAATATAAATATTATAAATATTTGAACACACACACATAATATTTTGAACACATCTAACACACATCTATATCAAACACATTACATTAAATGTTGCATTAAAATTATATTATTTCAAACAACATCCAATTCATCCCAGGAAGGAGGGGAAGAACACAACATTCTAGATTATCTGAATACTTTTTTATATATAATGTATTTAATATTTATATATATAATATAATTACTTAATTTTACTTAATTTTACATTCTAATTTTTGCTTCATTTTTTTGTTTTTACTTATCAATAATTTAATTTTCATATTTTGTGCTTTAAACTGCATTAAATAATTAACAGTTTATCAGCTAACTAATTATATACTTTGAACGGAAGATTTGATCGGTGATTTATCGCGAAATTTTTTCCTTTTACAGCGGAGATTGGATTTTTTTTCATTATTTTTTCACTTGTCGTTATTCTTTTATTTTATCTACTATCATTATTACTCTATCTATCATCTATCGTATATCGTATCTATCATTATCTTCTCTTCTCTATTAAAAAAATTATATTAAAAAGGTCAAAATAATAATTTGTTATCTAATTTGGTTCATCCGAATTGATTTTAACTCAAATCATTTCTTAATTTATTTTATCACTTGATCTTAAAGGAAATGATTTGATAAAATGAATGTCTCAAAAAATTGCTAAAGAAAATCATAGAATAAAAAATAATGAATTAATGGATTGGATAAAACGAGTGTCAATAAGAATGTAGTTCACTGATTTGTAATTTTCCTTGCCATAAATAAAAAGATTTTGATTGTGACAAATAAGGTAATAATACTATATAAATTATATATATAATCGATAATACACATATTATTATTAACCTTATTTTTTCTGATTTTAAATCAGATTTTTTAATTTACCGAATATGATCGTCACATGAAGGAGTATTTCTTGGCGAGATTATAAAAAAAAAAATGGCACCATTGTAACATTGTAGTGACATTGTAACAATATCGCAACAAAATTTTTTTTTAAAAATTTCGAAACTTTTTATTACTTTGTTTCAAAATGTTCACGCATTCACAAATTGACACATTCTAAAATTTCAATCATATAAAATCATGATTAAATTGCATACATAATGTGCATATATGTTGTATAAAGTATATTAAATATATTATCAATAGTTTATAGATCTATCATGTAAATTGTAAATTTTTTAGAAAAAGAAGTTTAGATCATAATTGTACTGCAGAGATTTCAATATATTTCTCCACTTACATATATATATTTATATTTACTTACCAAAATAAATTTTTATTCTTTACCACGAATATATTTACATTTTAAAAACTTTATTTCATTGTTGTTCATTTGTTCATTGTTCTCTGTAAAAAAATGAAAAATGACGAAATAGAAATAACAAAATAGAAATAACAAATAGAAATAAATAATTTTTTTAAAAAAAAAAAATAACTACAAGAGAAAAAAAATCATAAAATATTATTTTGTTCCTCGCTTGTTTCGTGACAGGATATAAACTAGAAATTACGAATGTGATATAAATGAGATAATGAGATAGTTGGTTAATATAAATATAAATGATAAATAATGATTGTGCTAAAGTTTTTAATTGGTTAATTAAAAATTCTATTAATAGGCAAGTCGCAAAAATTTCTCGGATCAAAATTTTCGATAATAGAAAACGGCGTACAAAGATTACGTTCTAAACATAATTCATTTATTTTTATTACCAAAAATATTATCAGAATTAAAATTTAATCTAACTTCATTTTCTAATATTTCATCATATATATCAAAACTTATTCAATCTCTTATTATTCTCTGACCCATACACTTAACCCTTTTTCACCCTTCTTTTTTCTCCCTATTAAGGTACTTTTATTCAATTTACATATTTGTAAGCATAGGTATATAATGGGTATGGTGTACGAATTCTAATTTCTACGCTTATGTAACAAATAAAAATAAATGGTTTTTGGTTTTAAGATATTGATAAATTATTTCTAAATTTGAATTATTTGATAGAATTTTTGTAACAGTGATGCGGATATTAATATTTAATGATGAATAATTGAATAACGGTGGTATCTTTATCATTTTCCAAAATTAGGTATAGATATATATATTTTTTTCGTATCTTATCGGATCCCGTAATCGCAAAAAAAATAATAATAATAAAATGAGAATTTAAAAGGAACCTATTGTACGTCACGTTCGGATATAGAAAAATATATAAAAATACATAAATATGTAATAAATTTAAATTACTGGTTATAAAAAAATAATAAATTGTTTTTAATTTACTTTATTTATTTTATTTATTGAATAAACTTTTCGTCTGAAATTAAAATTTATCTTTTGTAAACTCTTCATTTGTGTTGTTTTAATTATTACTCCAAAATGCGACATTCCAAATTTATATAAAACATATAACCTAACCAAGTACATACATCTGTTTTTTGTTTTTTCTTTGTTTCTTTGCACGTTTTCTTTTGTTTTTGTTTTTCCCCGCACGTTTTTCTTTTAAATAATCTTTAATTTTTATTATTATAATAACGATTGCTATATATTATTATTAGTTTTTTATTATTACTGAAGATTATTTAATTGTAAATGATAATTGGTTTCTAATTTAGATGTAATTTTTTTATCTCGGTAAGATTATGCGCGCGTGTGAATGATAATTATATAATAATATGATTACGTAACTTATTCTAAAAAAAAAACTCTATTTCTTGATATATTTATTTTCGTTTTTTTTTTTTAACAAATAACGCAATTATCTCAAAACAGCCTTAATAATAATTAATAATTAATAACAATAATAAAAATAATAACTATAATAATAGTGATAATAAATAATTTTAATAAAAATTAATTTTAATAAAATAAAATTAAATTTATTACATACGCAATTATTCATATTATTCATATAATTATAATAATTATAATAAATAATTATAATAAAATTAATTTTAATAATGTTTTGAAAATAAATTTACATAAATTAAAATTAATTTACTAATTTATTACAGTCTTTCAAAGTTACATAAGCGATCAAATAGATTTTGCCCATTCGCTTCAATCCGTACGTATATATCGCTTAAATCCGTTTCCATTTCGTTCGTTCGTTTTTTTTATTTGTGTACAAAGAAAAAACGTATCAATCATGATAATGTTATCATCTATTATTATGATGATGATGATGATGATGATGATGATGATGATGATGTAAAGTTTATACACATTTGTTCAAAATTATGCTTGTATAACATTTTAAACAAGTAAAAAATGAGATGATTGTTTACATCAGATGAATAGATCGAAGATCAACCGCAGTCGATATATCAATAATCAAATGACAAATATGTGCATAATGTACATTTTATTATCTAGCATATACTTTATCTAGCATATAAGCATGGTGTCGGCCAGCAAAATCCTATGCTTATAGGCAGGTATGCTTATGTAAATTAATGATGTTGCAAAAAAAAATAGATGCAAAAAATTATTTTTTTATTAACAATAAAGTCAAATTAATATTTTTTTTTTGTTTAATAGAAATATTTTCTTTTTTGAATTTCAATATATTTAAGAATTTGATTACAATCTTCATCTTGTTGGAGAAAAAAAAAGTTCTAAAGAATTTAATATATTAGTTGCTTCATTATATGTAATCTTTGATCTTTCAATAGTATTATCATCATTAAATTCATTATTTAATTTATTTAATTCATCACTTTTATTATTTCTTTCATATTTTCTTTTACTATTTCAATAATATAATCATCTGTTAGAATTTCTGCAATTTCATTTTTATCTAATTGATTAAGAAGCTCTTGGACATCCATTGGATTTCTATATCTAAGTTCATTTATTTGATTTATATCCTCTGGAATTTCTATTAGATCATTATTATCTGGATCATCTTCTGTTTGTGTACAAATTCCACAGTGAAGAAAACAATGATAGATTGTTTTAGCACTTACATTATTATTCCATGCAGAAATAATAAAGCGAATTGCTTGTAATATATCAATTTTCTCAGGTTCTATCTTATTTGCTTTGATGTTTTGAAGTATTTGTTGATGAAAAAGTTTTCTATAATAAACTTTAGGATTTCTAATAATGCCTGCATTACAGGGTTGTATTTTTGATGTAGTATTTGGTGAAAGAAAATGAATTCTTGTATTACATAAGTTGTATCCTTTTTTACATGTGCTGGATAATTATCCAAAGCACCTTTCGCCTATGCATTTGCTGATCAAACTATTTATTTAATCAGAAGGTTACACCTAGAGAATGGGTTTTTATTTCACGTGCTTAATTAAAAACGCATTATTATTGTTCCTTTAACATATGATGGATATCATTAACTGTGAACATAAATCGACTGAAATCATCGACTCTATATCAGTTTGCAAAGGTTGCGGATGGTGCTCTTCCGAAATATTTGTGCCCGATTCGCATGGTATTTATATTTTTCATACAAAAAATCTATCATTTAAAACAGAAACTAACATTTATAACATAAAAATTAAGATTTATACGAAGGTCGTACCCTTGTACCCAAAGCACTTGACGGTACAAGAATCGAAATTGGAGTTTGTAGGAGTAACCCTTCTGTAAATAACATTTAATATTTATACAAAAGTTTTGATTTATTGAACTACGGAATTTTAGTAGTAATTAACTTGCAGATCTCTTTCATTATTTATTTTAAGGTTGAAAGGGTTATTCATCAGATCACTTCTTCATTGGGTTTGGATTCTACTGAAACGAAGATTATATCGTTATACAATATGGTTGAAAAAAAATTTCAAGTTGGTGAAGGTCAACTTTTACGTGTAGTAATTGGAGCTTGTGCATTATTGGCAATTAGAGAAGAAAAAATACCGAAAACTATGCGAGAAGTAGCAGTAAGTAATATTCTCATATTCTCAGTTGACAATTTATTATTATTATTATTTTTTTTTTTTTTTTAAAAAAAAAAAAAATTATAATTAATATAATTATAGTTTACATTAGGCGTAGAGTTACAACAACTTGCAAGCGTTGTGCATAAGATACGAATGCATTTTATGCCTTCAGTTCCAAGTTTTATAGATATTGAAATATTAGTTAATAAAGCAATATATGAAATATTCGAAAATCAAGTTAATAAAATCAACTTGCCAATTTACGTTGATATAATGCAGTTAGATCATCTCAAACAAGATGTTCAAACATTCCGCATACCGAGGGATAATTTTTATTTTAGAGATAATATTTCATGTGAAGAATTTCAAGAACAAATTATGAAATGTTATCGAAAAGTTTTTACAGAATTATGTACACAAATACTCAAATATGCTAACGAGGATAATATCGTTAGTGGAAAACAACCATCCCCGGTCGGAGCAGCAATTGTTTTAATAGCGATCGAAGCCACAGAGAAACCGAGTGCCGAAGAATGGAAAAATAATCATAAACGGGTATCAGAAATTATCGGAAAGAAATTTCAAGTTGATTCACATTTAGTAATGAATGATAGATATAAAGAAATTATAGATTTAATACATCACAAAGTCGTCGATCTCCCCTGGAGCTATTTAGCAAAAGAAAACAAGAATAGAAGTTATTTATATGTTGTTGATTTGGTGCAATTTCATGAATGGATCTTAAATTCTCGTGAAAAAGGGAAACGAAAACAACGTAAAGTCATAATAAATCAAAACATTAATGATGCGAACGACACGAATGAATTAGATGGCATTATAGATTCTAATTCTTCTAACTCAGTTGAACAAGTTGGAAATTATATAATTGATAAAAATTTTAATGTTAATGATAATGATATTATAAATGATGAACGGGAATCCAATGTTGAAGATGTTTTATTAAATGATGAAGAACTTGAAGAATATCTGCGAAATGATAATGAGGTAAAATTTATTATTAAATCACCAATCATTTAAATTTTGCTCATTTAAAGTTTACACTTTAAAATTTTTTATATTAATAGGTTGAGTTTGTCAAGAATTCATGGGTAAATTCCGAGGGTCAAAATGAAAATGTTACTAAAAAAGCACCTAAAAAACGGAAACGAATGCTTCGTGAAATAGATACTTCCCAACAACGAAAAATTGAAGACCAAGTATCGGATTCACAAACCGATACATTCGAGAATAATGAAATTGATACACGTAAAAAACGAGCTAAAGTCGGTTCTAAAAAACGCGAAGGTTCACCAACACCAATTGTACCAAAAATCAACTTTGATCCAAATGCAATAGATATGAATTTATTTAATCATATATAAGTAATATAAATAATATAAGTAATAAAAATATGTAATATAAATAATTTAAATAATTTAAATAATATAATATAAATAATATAAGTAGAATGTAAATAAATCATTGAAATAATTTTGATAATTTTTAATAATTTTAATAATTTTAATACAATTTGTAAATATTTTTTCATTAATAAAAATTTCAAAGAATTTTTTATTATTAATTTTTTAATGCGCGTGTAAAAAATACATTGAATCATATATATTATATGTGAATAATATTAAATATACTACAGATTTAAAAATAAAATCAAACGATTCGTCTGAATTGAATAATTTAAAAAATGTATTTTTATAAGTCCCATATATATTCCGATTTTTATAAGTCCCATATATATTCCGATTTTCTATATGAATCTCGCCTAATAACTTTAACAAATTTCATTGTATCTTCTATTGCTTGAAAAGAAGCATTAATATAATATCCTATTAACATTAATGTCTTTAAAGAATTTTTTTGTTTTGCATATTCCCTAATTACTGCAAGATTTGCATCATTTACATCAATTATACCAATTCCAGTTGTAGTCGCTGTTCCTATTCCCAAAGCTAAACATTTTATCATACAACTACATCTTTCAAATAATGCATTTAAATCAGTAGGGTTACATATAAGATCAAATTCTAAATGAAATAAGGAAGGGGGAAGAGATTCACCCAATTCATATAAAACTTCACTAGATGTACCAAGATCTAACCAATTTGTATGTAATTGTAAATATTCAAGTTTTGAACAATTACTAAAAATTGATAATAATCTTGTTCGTTTTTCAGTATCAGAACATGAATCAGTAATTCTTCCATATAATTGAATTTCTTTTAATGTTTCATTACCATTTAATATAATGGTTGAAAGTGCATCAAGTGTAAAAGCTGTTTTCCAAAAACTAAATTTACGTAAACGAGTAAATTTTGATCTTAATGATCTCCGAGAAACTTTATTAAGAATACAACCTTCAAATAAAAGTGTTTGAACGTTGGGTACTGATTCAACAATATCTTCAACGTAAACTTCAAAAAAATCCTTAATATATTGTAATTTGATCGAATTTAAAGATTCCAGATGATTTTTTAATGATGAAATTACGGGGGAAAGTCTAATAGGTCTAAAAGTTTGTTCATTTTGATTAAAATTATCTCTTATCTCAATTCCTAATGTTAATTTTTTCAATCTTCGTTGCATAGATAAAAAATCACTTAATGATCCTAATCTTCTTATCACTTCAATATTACCAGCTTCATTTGATGGAAGAAAAGGTAATGAATATATTTCAAATGATTTAATAGTATTACAATATTTTGTCATAATAGGAAGGATATCAAAATCCATGTCACGAACTATTAATTTAAATTCTTCTAATTTAGAGAACGCATTCTTTGCTCCAGGAAAATCAATTATCGTAAGAAAATGATTAGAAATTGTAGGATACATCTCTCTACTTAATTTGAAACATTTCAACGTCCCACATTTTAAAAAAAATTGTTTACACATTTCGTATGTGATTGAAAAGGCAAGTTCTGATTTATTTTCGGAATTTATTTGATTAATATCACTATAATTATCTTCTTCTTCTTCTTCGCTTTCAATACTCTCATCATCTACATTTTTATCACTTTCGTTTATAATAATTCTTCCTTTGGCATTTATCCATTGCAGTACACAACTATAAATAAGTTCATAATTAAATTCTCTTAACATTGATATATAATCAAATGTTAAAGGTCCAGTTAAAATATCAGATAAGTTAATCCCAAAATTTGCAATAGACTCTTGAGCTTCTCTTGGAAAACATGAAATATATACATTAATCAGTTGTGAAGAACCTCCTCTTAAAAGATGAAATGGTCTACCCCATAGAACTGAAACAACGTTGCGACACCAAGTCCGATTTACTAATAAACAACTATATAACTGTAGTGCTAGATTTTCCTTGCGTTCATTTTCTGGAACAATTAAATATTCAAAAATTTCTCTAAGATTTTCTGGTGGTAAAGAAGAAATCATTATGTTAAATGATTATATAGATTTTATAAATTAATATTTTTATATCTAAATCTACTAAATAAATTTACATAATGCATTAATCTTTAATTCTGGCCATTTCAATCATTTAATAATTTTTTTTTTTTTAGTTAGAATATTTTTTTAATAGTTTTACGGTGCAACGATCAAGTCACATGACAAGCGTGATGGTAAGAAAGAAAAACAAAAGAAAACAGGCATAATCAATCTGGTCCTTCTCCACCAGGAATAAGCTATATTATTAAATTAAATTAATAATTTAAATAATTTAACAAAAAAAAAATTGTAAAATGCATTAAAAAATAAGAATAATAAATTCGAAAAATCAAATTAAAAAAAAATATACTCTTTACCATTGTAATATTGTTTCCATTTAACAGAATTTGTTCCAAATGAGTTGTTTTCCGACCTTCTGGCGTATTTTCACTAAATATCAAAATGTATAAATATACATTTATTCACCAACTATTATTTAAGCACTGTTTTTTAAACCATTACAATTACGTTGTAAATAAAACTCACTATTCTGTCACATCTTCAAGTACCATGTCTTGATTTTTTTTTTTTGTGTGGTTATTAATAATCAAAATTAAGGTATATATATACTAATATATCTTTAGATAGCGAAATGACATTTATGCATTTAGATCAAAAGGATACTAACATAATCATCAAATCCCAACAAAGTTCCAGTAAATTCTTTTTCGCTTTTCATAATGACCCAAATTTTAGAGCCAATGCATTTATCAATCAATTCTATTTGAAAACCCATTTATCATTTATTTATTAAAAAGAAATCTATTAATAACAAATAAATAACAAATAAATTACCTAATGGAAGAAGTTGGTTCGTTGATGTTGCCATATTTTGTAAATAATTTTCTAAATCGATTTATGTGTATATATATATATATTCCAAAATCATGTGCGTTAGTGTAACTATTGATTTTATTGATTTGAAACGTGGTAATCTCATCTATTATTTGATATTAATTTAATATTGGCTATAGATAACTTCACTACTACCATTTTCATTTCTGCTTTATTGCAAAAAAAAAAAAAAAAATGGCATTCTATGAACTTCTCTGCATTGCGAAGGCTGAACTACCTGAGGTAATTAATTATCAATTGGTTATATTATTCATATAGATTATTTTTATTTTTATTATTATAAATATATATCAAACTAAAAATAAAAGTAATAAAAGGCAAATCTTAAAGACCTTGTTAAAATTATGGCCAAATGTGTATTAGAAGGAGGTGGTATAGTTAGGGGTTTTGAAAATTGGGGATCAATGCCATTAGTTTCCCGAACTAGGAAGCATCAAGAATATCATACTCATGGACAGTATGTTTTTTAAAAATTGAATTATTATTATTATTAATTTTATTTTATTGTTGATAATAATTTTATTTTTTGTTTTTCTTTAAAAAAAAAAGTTTCTGGATGATGCATTTTGATACTAATCCTTTAGTATTGCATGAATTGAGAAAACAATTGAATCGTGATCCTCGTGTAATTCGTGGAAATTTGGTAAAACTTGGAGATAGATTACATGAAATTATAGAAAGACCAGATAAAACATTTTAAACCATTTTTGTTATAATTCATATACTTGAGCATTTTACTACTTAACATTTGATAATTACATCTTCACATTTTTATAGACTAGAATATCTATTATTTAATTTTTAGTTTAATACAAAATAAATGTTCTTTTTAACATTTTATTTATATATTTTTCTATTACATTTTTACTAGTTTAGTATTACTATATAAATACATTTTTGAATTTTTTTAATATGTGGTAAGGGATCGGCATTATAAATTAAAACGCACATGTGATTTTATTTCAAAAATCTTACAAATCATCACTTACAAAGGTACCTATATCAAATTTTTCAAATATTAATTCAAAAATTGGACTAAGGATCTTGATGATATAACCCCACTCTCTATGTTGCATAACAAGAATATTAATCTCTCTTTATAAACAGGTGACTAAATAAATTTCAGGTTAATATCTGCAAAACAAAATCTCCATTCAATCTGTTCATATGTTCAATCTTATACTTACAAAAATTCAATAATTCTAATAGTTAATCTTGTACCCTCAGATTCCAAAGTTGAAAATTTATTTTTCCATACTACTTGATCATTTGATAACTTCTATAAAATACCATAATAATTTATAAATATGTTGTTAAAGACCAATAACTGTAAATAAAAAATAACCACATCCATTGTGAAGTGAATTTATTACTTTCTTATCAATTTTATCTTTATTAAGTTGTCTTTTTGACTTGTTAAATACTTGTACATAATCAGGTATTTTAAAAATTCTACTTTATTTGTAATTTAATGGACTTAAAATTTTTTTAGTAATTGAATAGAGAACAAATATTATTTGTGAAAAGCATATAGTTACAAATCACAATAACATACTGTATTCAAATTTTCTTGTTTTGCTTTTTTTCAGATTTTCTCAAGATTTAAATTTGAAAGTTCAGATATATGCAATAGTAACAGAAACTTTTGAATATTGTTTAAAAGGTTGTATTTCAATAAACAAACTGTTTCCGTTGTAACTACTTTATCTACAATAATACTGTTGATTTTTCAAATTATCTATTTCTTGGTCATGAGTTTTGTATTGTTTAATATTTGTAAATTTTTATCAAGATTTATATAAATATACTTGAGAATAAGAAATAGATTTATATAAATAACTCAAAATATAATTTGTGTTAAGATTATATTAACAAACTTTAGATTTATCTAATGTTTCAGAATTATGCTTAATAGATAAAATTGAAAATTAACTACTTTACAAGTCAAATACAAAAGATATGTTGTACCAAAAAGAAATTCCAATTTTTGCTGATTATAATATAAGATACAATAGAATGATCAAATGTTATTAATTTTTAGCTAATCTATAATATAGAAATTACTATTTGATACAGTGATTCTTTTGTATTTGACTAGTACTTGCAGAAGGTATTTTTGATCAAAAAGAACTTAATTTTATATCAATTATTTACATTACAATTTCAGATCAATTTTTGTTTCAAATAGATTTCATTTGTTATAAACTGATTAGCTAGTTTTTTATATATAAACTAAGAATACAAAATATTGTTTATCTTTTTTATCCATTTAATCAAAAAATAATATAACTTCTTTAGATCAAAGTATTTTTTACATTATTAAAAAGATATGTAATTTTTTTTTAGATTTTTTTATTTATTAAGTTATAAATACTTGTTAAATGACTATAATTCTATTTTGATATTCAATTATCACCTTTATACAATTTTCTTTTAAATATTCAAGACAATTATGAATAGTCCATTTTGTAAAGGTTACTTTATTTAAATATTGAATAATCCTATTTGAAAAGTATATACTAACTAATTTTATTAATATAAAAAAATTAATATTATTTCAAAAAAAAAATTAATTGTAATGATATTGACCAATGAATTTTTAAAAAAAAGTTATCAAACTTTAAGTATTAAATCAATTCTAATAGTACAACATCAGGAAATTTTTAAGGGCGGATAACTCCGTAAGTTTTCGGGATGTAAAATTTCCGTAAATTTTTGCATAAATTTCCGTAAATTTTCGTAAATCTTCGAAATTTTTTGATGTAAAATTTTGCGAAAATTTTTGCAGAAATTTTCGAAATTTTTTTACATCAAAAGATTTCGTTAATTTTTACGGAATATTACGAAAAGCTTTTCGTAAATTTTCGATGAAAAACGTAATATTCCATTTAATAGACTAAATATGTAACACAAAATGATTTTGTTTATTTACCTAAATGATCTTGTTTATCTTGTTTCGAACTTTTTCAAAAACTATTCATG